CCTCGGCTTCTGTTACAGGAACCACCCTCGCCCACCAAGCAGCAGGCCAAAGGTGGGGGTGACGAGGAGGGGGGGAGAAGCATGCGGGGGCGGCACCCGATCCCATAAGGCGCTGCCCGGCGCGGGCGCGTCTGCCCTCCCGAGCGGGGCCTTCGAGAGCTCAAGCTGGCTTTTTGAAAGCCCCACGACCGACCGACCGCCTTCCTCCCCCCCTCCCTCTCCCGCGGCCCCCGCTTCCGACTCTCGTCTCAAGGAAGTGGGATCCAGGAGCTCAGGGCGAAGGGGATGGAGTAGGTGGACAAAGGCGGGGTGGAGTTCTCGGCAGAGAAAAAAGAGAGAGAGAATGTCACCATATTGCAGAGAAGCAAAGGCACCTCGAACCTGGCCGCTTTTCACATCGCCGTCTCCGAAGCCTCCTAGCACCACCACCACCACCACTAGCCCGGCTCCCCCCTGTCCCCGCCGGGGACCCCCACCTACCCACCTGGAGGGGACTGTCCGTTGAGGGTGACCAAGGCGGGCGCCGGGGCGTTCTTAGTCCAAGGGTTCACCTTGGGCGGAGGGGCCTCGATGAACTCCTTGCGCCCAACTCCTCCCTGCTCGCCGCCCTCCTCGCCGCCGCTACTGCTGCTGCTGGCCTCGCCGGGCAGCCGGTTCGATTCGAGGGGGCCGCCGATGCCGCCGCCGCCGCTCCTCTGGTGCAGCAGGTTCTCCTTCTCTTGGTGGTTACTGTCCTCTTTCTGTTGCTTGATGCTGGGGGGCTTGAGGAGCGGCCCGCTTCGGCGCAGATGCTCCCCCACGTTGCTGCCACTGCCGCCGCCGCTTTCCTTGCTGCAGCTGTCGGGGCCACCCCCCTTTCCGTCGTCGGTGCTGGCCTTCTCTCCTTGGTGCATGAGGTGCTCGCCTTTCTCCTGAGGCTTCTTGATCACCAGCCCGTGCTCCTCGGAGGGCAGCAGGGGGGTGGCAGGCAGGAGAGCCTCCACCTGGGTAGCCATCTGCGCCCCCGCAGAGCCTCTTCGTTCCCCGGGCTCCAGGCTCTCCCCCGACAACACGCGCCCGCCCCAAACTTTGCCGACACCCCTTTTCCCCCAAATCACCTCGCCGAACCCAACGCTTTCGCCTTCCTCGCTCTCGTGCCCTTGGGCTCAGGTGAGATAGGCGACCCGAAGCGAGGGGGGGCCACGGGCTTCCACCCCCCACCCTTGAAACCCAACCCCGGCGTCCCCCCTCCCCCGTCTCCTCTGAAGCCGCCGCAGCAATATGGAGAAGCAACGAGACCACGCGACTGGCCGGCGAGAGCGCGCGCCGCTCCGCCAGCTCCGCCTCAGAGCCAGGCTTAGAGACGGAGGACAAGAGCGCGCGCGCGCGCTCACGCGCTCGTTCTAGCCGCGAACGCGCCTCGGGAGGAGGAGGAGGAAGAGCAGGTACGGTAGTAGCCCGAGCTCGGGGGGCCGCGCGCGTGCCTGATGCAATTCGGCGAGAAGAGAGACGCTCCTTAAAGGGGCAGCAACGCTCGGGAAGAAGAAGAAGGAGGAAGTGCGGCGCTTCGCCTCCGCGGTGCCAAAGGCCTAGGCGGAACGAGGGCTCCTTTCAGGCAGGCAACTTGACACCTCGAGCCGAAGCAGGAAGGAAGGGCCGGCCTCCTGGTTCCCAGGCAGAGAAGCTCCATGCAAAGTTTCCAGAGCCATACGCTTGTGTACTCGAGAGTTCAGTCGGTGGCGGGCTTAGTTCTGTAATCTGAAGAACACGTGCATAAGAGGAGACAGGAGTGCAAGCCAGGAACTTGCTCGGAAGTACAGTAGAGGCTGCTGAATTCAGAAAGGGACGTAGGCTTGGATCCCTTTCCTTTCCCGGCACAAGCTGCCAGAGTCACTCGGGCTGCGAGCCCGGGGCGCCATCTTTCCGGGCAACGTGTGGCCGCCCTTTAGAGGTGGCTCGACGGCCAGTCCCGTCCGCCCGCCCTAGCCAGGGTAGCGAATCGGGAGAGGTCGCCAGGACAGCTGCGGTCTAGCCAATACCTGGAGGGCCATCAGGGGCCCACCCCTCTTTTGCCGGGAAGGTACTTCCTACTTTTCGTCCTCTCAATCAACGTATCTCCTCCCTGTTCCATTTTTTTGGTTGCCTTAACTGCAGGACCTGAGCACCATTATTGAGAAACACAGTTAAGTCCCACTGTGTCACAGGGACTTCCTTCCTACTCAGAAGGGTTCCCGATTGCAACCTATGTAAATCCTTGTCCCAGTTACAGTGTTTCCTGCTTAGTTTATGGTTGTGGCTTTTCTCTTTCACCCCGTTTTTTCTTTGCCTTTGCAAAATATGGTAGATTTATCCAGGTATGTTATGTTCGGCTATGTCCATGCCTCTCTTCCAAAGAGGAAAGGGGTGTGAATGTCCCCTTCCAGTTTGACTTCATGACAACGTTTTGAGATAGGTGAACTATTAAATTTCAAGGCTCAGTGGGAATTGGAATCAGGATCTTCCCAACCCTGTTCCCTCTAACCACTATAACCACCCTGGCTCTATATCAGGACCACAACTTGAAAGTCACTAACTTTCACAGAGCACTCAAGGTGCATGCAGTCTTGAGAGTCAACTGCAGGAGACATTGGAATGGGGGAGGCAGGTAGTGACTCTCAAACCAGTTATGTGCCACCAAGTCAGAACTGACTTAACAACCACCCTAATAGGGCTTTCGAATAAGATATTTAAGCAGTGTTTTTTCCAATTGCAGACCTGCAGCAAGCTTCCACGGCTAAGCACGGATTCAGATGCAGGCTTCCTGAGTCCTAGTTTGCCACTCTGTCCACTACACCAGTGGTCCCCAACCTCAGGCCTCCAGATGTTCTTAGACTACAACTCCCAGAAGCCTTCACCTCCACCTCTGCTGGTCAGGATTTCTGGGAGTTGAAGTCCAAGAACATCTGGAGGCCCAAGGTTGGGGACCACTGCACTACACCACACTGGGTATCTCCTAAAACAAGTATAATAGGAGACAATGCTAACCAGGAAATAGTGACTGTTAATAGTTAAAAGGGGAGATATGTCTTGTAGTTTGATTTGGAAGGTACATATTTCTGTACTATAGTATCATTGCTCTTTTTCTTTCTTTACTCAGTATCACCGGTCTGGATAAAAATATTAGGAATAATATATATGGGTGGGGAAAACACATTGTTCTATGCAAAAGGAGTGCATTATTGTATGATTTCTGCCAATTACAGTCAACCCTCGACTTACAAACGGCCCTAATTACACACATTTCAACTTACAAACTGCTCTGATAGAAAAATATGGACTCGACTTGCAAACTTAGATTCGAATTATGAACTGAAAAAATCCGTGTGGGAGGTGGGGAAAGTGCGAAATTTGAACTTTCAGTTAACCGTTGGCCAGTGAAGAGGGTGCCTGTCTGCTTCCTCGCTCTTCCCAGCGATTTGAGAGTGGATTTGGAGACAGTCTTCAGACTGCCTGGTATTGCCTGGTACAGTGCTGTACGGACTGTATTATTATTATTTTTGCTTTTTAAAAAAAATTGATTTTGGGATTTTTAAAAGGTGTTCCCTCCCTCCTTTGTTGCCCCCTTTTTCTCCCAAAACATCCTTGTATTGGCTTGTCTTGATTGAAAAGGTGCTTTTCAAGGTGATCTGTTGTCTGAAAGGTGCTTGGTTTTTCCCAGAAGGTGCTTGTCTTGGCTGAAAAGGTGCTTTTCAAGGGGTTCTGTTGAAATAGGTGACTGTTCCCTCCTTCCCTCCCTCTTTCCATTTTTTTAACCTAAGTCATCTTAGGTTAAAAGGAAAAATAAATAAAAAAATTCTTCCCCTAGTGGTAGGAATGGATTAACTGGCTTTGCATTAGTTCCTATGGGAACTAATGATTCGAGTTACAAACCGCCCCTCGACCTAAGAACCAAAAACAGCCAGAACGGATTAATTGGTTTTCACTGCATTCCTATGGGAAATGCTGATTCGACTTACGAACTTTTCGACTTACGAACTTCCTTCCGGAACGGATTAAGTTTGTAAGTCGAGGGTTGACTGTACACCGCTATTTCTTTGCTTATATTTATTTTGTATCTTAACTTCCTACCAAAATGTAGACATCGGGAACTGTTAGTCCAGGGTTACTCTCACAGCTGTTGTTTCAATTACAAGTATGATAATAACACAAGCAAACTTATAGGCAATGCTGACCAGGAAAACAAAGGTATGAATCTGATTTCACATTTTCTGATCATTATGAACAAGTTAACCCACAGGGTGACTCATTTAAAATGACCTATTGTGGGCCGAACCCCTCCCTGGAATAAATGTGCTTCTGTTAGTGGAGAATATGAAGCAATAAAATGTGAAATAATGGGAATATCTGAAGTATGATTCCATTTTTTATTATGGGCAACAGATTTTTAAGAATTTGATCCATTTATGATGCAACTTTGCCTTTGTGAATATCTCATCTCCAGGTATGTGTACATGTTTTTTGCATGGCGCTGTTCATTTTCTGAAGTTGTTTTACTTAAGAACAAGCAAACAAAATGCTTCACATCTCAGAAATGGTTGCTGTCCAGGTAATGTTTCATAGTAGGTCATCATTTGTTCCAAGCTAGTGGGAAATCTAAAGCACCACAAGCAACCACCTGCTCTTCTCTGTGAGGGCCATTTTTTAGGTATGTCATTAGTTGTATAAAGGCAAAGTGCCTGCTTCTGTTTTCCTGTGAAGGAAGGCATGGCATGTGAATCTGAAGTGGGGAGGGGGGCAGGCAAGAATGTGGGTTCCCTCTTTACCAACCACCCTTTGCTGTTCAGAATTTGAGAACCAGTTATGTGCCTATGAAGTAGCCTAATTCTTAAGTGAATTCACTTCAAGCCCAGAGAAGATTAGAGACCACTTTCCGACAAGCACCATGTGCAAAAGACTGCAGTGTATAATCCATAACATTAATTTATTAAGATGAACTGACTTAATGAGTCAGTAGATTTTCAAAAAAGAATTTTTGATATGCACACTTCTAAAAACAGCAGGTGGTAAGAATGCCATGTCCTTCCCTCTAGCGTATATGTCAAAATCTGATTGTGATAAGAACTAGCCTGTTGAAGACTTCCATCAAATGACTACAAAATAGGAAAGAATGCCTGCAGCCTTTACAAATTATTTTACTTGCTTTCTTGGTACAACTTCTGTGCTCCATTTATAACTACCTGTCATGTCATGCTCATACCATCTCTAGTCCTATTAGAAGTCTCTTCTGTCAGTTGTACATTAATTGTGCTCCATGCAAAGCCATCCCCAGGAGGAAAAAAGAGTGCTATAAAACAACTACTTCCTGCTGCAAAGTATATAACCAGCCTTGCAAAAGTTTGTTCAACATGTGCTACCCATAACAGGATTTAGTTATTACTAACTCATTCAGTATATACATTACTTAGTTTTTTTATACTGGGTCACAATTATTTACATCACTCAGAAGGGATGGCTAAAAGACTATATATTGGAACATTTTGATAAACTAAAGCCTCAGCAAAAAACAAAAACAAAAAACAGGAATTACATGAGAGAACAAAAAAAATGACAAGATCAACTTGTTTCTAACTGACACCGCTCAGCAGACAGTTCTTAACCAGACAGTGGAGAAGCCAGATGTTATACTCTTGCAATATTTCTTACAGGCAGCCACAAACCATAATTTTGCAGTTATATTGCTTTGATGGAATATTGAACAGGAGGTTGTCTGTTGTAGGCATTGGGCATGGTTAGGGTCCCCATATTCTGAGGAAACGGGACAGCTGTGTTATACACTAGCTGTCGCTTCCAGGTCATTCTCAAGGGCAATGCTGCGTAAAGTGCATTAAAGTAATCAGGTCTGGAAGCTGATAGCAAAAACTGGTCTGTCCAAGAAAAGGTGGAGCTTGCAGAATAAATGCAGCCAGGACATTGTAAGATGTTTGCTTACCAGGAGTTTGAGCTGGATATAGAAGCAGTCCAGGTTACCACAGGTGAGGGACAAAAGGTGGGAATCTCAGATCATGAGACCAATAATCCTGAGACCAAAGTACAACTCTCTCTGGCTCCCTTGGTGGCCATGGCCCTTTCCCTATTAGATGAGTGAGGCGGGGTTCCTCCCATTCGGAAAGGTAGAAATATGTCTCCCCACTTAGCTGAGCTTTAAGCTAAGATAGCCTAGTCTTTTTGTCCCATCCTTTGGGCATGACCTTGATCACACTGGAATGTGGACCCCAAGAAGTTCTTTGACAGTGAACATGTCATTTAATGCCATTTCAGTCCTTGGGGCTGAAAGAAGTTTCCCATCTTTGCAACAGGAAAATTGCAGCCCATCCATCACAAGCAAACTGGGCCCCATACATTGTCCAAGGGTGACTCATCCACACCACTTCCCGCTTATCTCAGTTCATCTTAAACCTGCTTGTTTTGTTGATCTGACTGAGTTCAGAGTAGCAGGGGCAGCTTGCAGGTGCCTGGTCATGGAAATATAACAGCTGGATGTCATGATGCCAATGAAACATTGTTCCGAAGCTTAAGATCTGGAACTTTCATACTAGAGCTGTACTGGTAGTAATACTGAGCTCTAGAGACTGGAGAGTAATTAAACAATCTGAGAGCCAGCATTGATAGTCCAAGCAAAGGTTCAAACCACTGACAATAAGATCAATAGTCACATTGCCTCTTTATTCTCTAGAGGGAGATCACCATGGCAATCAAAGCTGCCTTCATTGCCAGAAACCCTATAGAAATGGGGAAATGGGGGTGATTCAGAAACACCCACAGTTACTCTTTCACCACACATTACAATAAACCTCCTCCTCCTCCTCCCCTATTTTAGGGTAAGGACTAAAGCTTTTTTTTGTCATTTAGTCGTGTCCAACTCTTTGTGACCCCATGGACCAGAGCACGCCAGGCCCCCCTGTCTTCCATGCTTCCCGGAGCTGGGTCAAGCTAGGTACAGCCATAAAATGGAACCTTTCATAAAGATAATTTCTTGAGTGGACACATCACTACTGTACCTCCTTTAAGGAAACCCAGACTCTACCCCCATCCAATGAAGCATTCATACTTCTGATCAAAAGTCCCACACATTTATCTCAGCTGGCTTCCAGCAGTTATGGAAGGCAAGGATCCTAACACATGGTAGCCTTCACAACATCTGTCAGTAATGGGAAACAAGGCTGAGTAACCAGTAACAATCTGGGTAACCAGGACAAGCAGGTGTGGCTGACACTAGCTCTCACTCAGCTGTTACATTCACCTTGAATAAAACCTAATTTTGCTAGCAGTGAATCACGAGAAATAACCACAACCTATCTTTTCCTCACCAGCACATTGCTTTGAGGGGCCCAAAGATCCTCATCACTCAGAAGAGCTCTGCTGGATATGGTTCTGGGGAAGTCACAGAAGATGCCAATGTTTGTTTTGCTGCCACCACCACCTCTTAGACCTGTAAATGGACTGTGTGGTCTAGTTCATTAAATGTGTGTTTTCCTTCAGTTAAGGCAGGCCCCACCCTAGTGCCCATCCTCCTCATAAATCAGGGAGCCAGGCCCAAGCAAGGCTGAATCTACAACCATTTGCCTAAATATTTATTATCATCCAATTATTTATTGTCACATTATAGATCAGGCAAATGGAATGCAGGAATAACAGCAAACAAATATTGACAGACCATATGCACACATGATATTCTTCAGTGTTTTTTCCAGTGCATAGCAATGAGGTGTGGCATTGAATGACCTTATTAAACCTACAGATCCATTATGAATTATAAAATTATTTGTAGAGGGGAGAGAGAACAAAAGGAA